TCAGACCGACCCTCAGACCGACCCTCAGACCGACCCTCAGTGATCGTTCTCCTGTTAGTGACACCAGCTGAGCAGTGAGGCCTTATCTTCACCTCCACTCTACTGTTACAGGTCACGACCTTTCCTCTAGCAGTCTGTCTGTCTGTCTGTCTGTGTGTTTGTCTGTCTGTCTGTCTGTCTGTCTGTGTGTCCGTGTGTGTGTTTGTCTGTCCGTGTGTGTGTGTGTGTGTGTGTGTGTGTGGGCTCACTCAACTCCTGGTTGGACAAATATTGCTCTTTAAGGGCAACCAGATAGCAGATAGTGAACTTTTGAACCTGTGCCTTCTGTTTGTCAGAGTAGAACTGAGGTTGAGGCAGCAGTGCCTCACCACTGCCCCCCCCTGGATATCTGAGACATATCAGTCTCTGTCTGTCAGAAGTGACAGATCACTGTTCATCACTGAATCATTCAGTCCGCTCTGTATGCAAAACAACAACAGCAATGATACATTTTCACCTAAAGAGGGTGCTGAAGGAACAGGTTGAAAGTCCTGTAGGATCAACAAAGTTGTCCATTCTTACCTTATGATGTTTGGCAACACAGAAATACAAAGGTTCAAATACAAGGAGCCACAGTTTTCAGTTAATTCTGGTCATCGACTTAAAGAGTTCCATTCACTTCTTTCAATTTGGTGTTAATGATAACAACAAACTGAATTAAAGCTGTGGCTTTATTAAGATTTTATGAATTTGTGTATGGTCAATAGAAGAGTCCAGCCATAGAAGGATACTGCACTGCCTCCTGCTGGGCCTATTTCAACTGAGAGAATTTATGTTTTTTTTTTTTTTTTTTTTGATTATTTTTAAAGAAATATTTTGCGTACTCTACCTTTAAGAACCAACAGGAACTCAGACTCTTCTACTGTGTTTCCTAAAAGTTTTCTTCTCTCCAGTTTAATTAATTTGACTTTGTCCTGTATGTGGATGCCCCCCCCCCCCCCCCCCCCCCCCCCTCCCCCTGCCCGCCAGCGAGCGCGCGGTGTGTGGGGGGGCGGCGCCCCCCC